AAAGAACCATTTATTTATTTAGAAATTAGTTTTCTTTCTTCATAAATTGTTTGAAGGATTATAATTAGTTTAATTCCATGGTTTTGCCATTAGATATATAATTTTTATATTTATTTTTATACATGATTAAAAAAAACAACAATTTTTATATCTCATTCTGAATAACAGTTTAAAGCACTAGTAGAAAGACAAAAGTAATTTCTTATACAAATATTAAGGATTGATCATGGCAGGGAATTTCTCTTCAATCCTTCCGTGAAATATTGCAAAAATTAATGGCATTCAAAGGCAGCTCATAGTTAGTGGAACCCCATAGCAAATTAGCGCAACAGAAAAAAAGAATTGTACAATTGATGAAATGATAAAAAGTATGCTAAAAGGCAAATGCAATCCAAACCTTTATTGGGCAGAGGCTGCAAGCATGACAACACGTACATTCACAATCAATCACCTACAAAAGCTACAAGCAACAAAATTCGCCCCCAGGGTACATCTCCAAGTGGTAAAAGGGGAGGGTGAAAAAATCCAACTTTGCTTGAGGCTGCCGCGTCAAGGGTTCGAATCCTGAAATATGGATTTGGCTCTTGGGTAAGTGCAAGTGTACAAGCAGCCTTCCACCCTGTACCCTTGGAGGCATAACCTGCGATTTACTTCCCTCACGATACTCCAGGACAAGAGTGGTAGGGGACCCTTAAGGTTGGGGTTCAACCTTTTTTTTACAAGTAACAAAATTCCGTTCAAGCATGGTACAAAAAGAAACCAAAAGTAGATCACTTAAAAATTTTCAGTAGCATTGCCTGTACCCAAATTCCATCACAAAATAGAGAAAATTTTGATGAGAAAGAACAAAAGCTTCTACTCATTGGATACAATGATGAGTCTAAAGAACATCGTTTACTCAAATCCAAACACAAATAAAATTACAGTTTCTCAAGATAATGTGTTTGACAAAAGTGCAACTTGTGATTGGAAGGGCAAGCAAGTCATAGATTCCAGCCCATATCAATTTGATGATCCATCGATATCTCAAATTTCCAACATTGAGTAACATGCAACTCCATGTATTCCAACAATTGAAGAATGATTAAAAAAAATCCATCCAAAAAAAATAAAAACCACTTTCACTAAGAGAAATCTAGGAATCACATGCACTTGAATTACTCTCTTGTGAACCTCAATCATTTGAATAAGCTTCAAAAGACAAAAACTAGACAAAGGCAATGGATGAGGAAATTTCACCATCAAGAAAAAACAAAACTTGGAAGCTCATTGACTTACCAAAAGGAAAGAAAATCACTGGGCTTAAATGGATATATAGAATAATATACAATCAAGACAGGTCAATCCAAAAATATAAAACACGACTTGTCGCAAAAGGATATTCTCAAGAGCCATGAATTGAATTCACAGAAACATTCGCTTGAGTTGTAAGTATGGAGACTATCCCTATAACTATGGCTTTAGCAGCACAATTGGAGCTCAATATTTTTTAGCCTAACGTAAAATTAGCATATCTAAATGACGAAATAGAAGAAGTAAATGTTGGGCAACTTGGAGGTTTTGTAGTTCAAAAAAAGAAAAAAGAAAAAAAAAAGACCGAAGAAGATAGAATTTATCATCTTAAAAGGCATTATATGGATTAAAACAGACACCCGAGAATAGAATAGCAAAATCAAAAGCTATTTTCTTCAAAATGGTTTCCATCGAAGAGCAAGTGACTGTGAAGAACATTAAAAAGGAATTTCTTGCTGTATGCATGTACGTGGATGATCTAATCTACTTTGGTACAAATAAAACCATGGTCAAAGAATTCAAGATTAAAATTACGAAAGACTTTGAGATAGTTCACTTGGAATTTATGAAATATTTTCTTAGTATTCAAGTAAAGCAAAGTCTGAGAAGATTTTTTCTCTATCAGGAAAAGTATATTGAGGATCTCTTAAATGAAATTCAACATGAGCCCGTCTAAGCCAGTCTCGACTCCAATGGCTTTAAATGAAAAGGTACAAGTTTCTGATGTTGTAGAAAAAGTTGATGCCACATTTTATAGAAAATTGATATTGGTTCATTGGTTTACCTCAATACAAGGCCAGACATAACATATCTAGTTAGCATATTTTCCACATTCATAAATTAACCAATTAAAATAAATTTTGCACCTGCAAAAAAGTATTTTGAGATTTCTTAAAGGAACAAAGATCCATGGCAACAAGTTTAAAAAGAAAAACATGCAAAATTGTTGGCTTTACAAATCGGTTGATGACTGAAAGAGCACTTCTCGATCATCTTTTGCCTTAGATCAATTGTGATTTCTTTGAGCTCAAGAAAGCAAAAATATGTTGCTTTATTATCAACAGAAGCAAAGTACATTGCTGCTACATATTCAGGGTGCAAAGCAATTTGGCTTATGAGATTTTTGAAAGATTTGAAAGTTTAGCAAAAAGGACCAATTGTAATTTATTGCAACAACATATCAACAATTACAATGGCAAAAAATCTAGTCTTCCATACTGTATCAAACTATAATGAACTTTGACATCACTTTGTAAAAGATTTGATAAATCAAGAAGAAATTTGCACGGAATTATGAATATCAGTTACCAACTGAACAACATGCTGACAAAGTCAATGACGATTGATAAGTTTGAAAAATTCAAAAAGCATTTGAAGATTACAAATTAAGAGGAGGTATTAAAAGTGCTAAACAAATTTGTAATCTTCAAAGAATCAAAACCAATTAAAATACTTCAACAACTTATGCCATGAAGATAAGAAGCAAAGTTCATCTTAACTACCACTTGCATAAAATGGCATGCAACTTGCAAGTAATTATGGACACAGGATCCATTGAATCTAGGCAGACCCATAATTTCAAAACATAGCCTATAAATAGATGTGTTAACTCAGTTGTAGTACAAGGAATGTAGAGCTGAAAGTAAATTTGTGTAAAAAAAAAGAATTGAGTGTACTATAGCAACTCAATTGTAAAACTTTCAAATTCCATAAGAGTTCGTTTAATTGTAAAGATGGAATTTGGGTGGAAAAAAACGAATTCCAGAGAATTGAATTGCCTAGAAATTGTTTTCTTGAAAATTGTAAATTATTGTGTTTGATTGATATAATTTTTTACGTGGAAAATATTAAAATAAAAGTTTTTTTGGTGTTCGTTTGGCTTTATTTTACATGAAAAATGTTAATTAAAGATATATATTTTACTGATATTGGGAATGCAATTTGTTTCCATTGCACCAAAAAAATAAATAAATAAATATATATATATATATATATATATCTATCTTTTGGTGTTTGTTTGGCTTTATTTTACATGGAAATTGTCAATTAAAGAAAAATATATTTTTACAATCATTTTTAGAATTTGTTTCCATTGCTCCAACAAAAAAAAAAAGGGCTACAGGACCCGGGAAAACCTATTCCCACCCACCAAATAGGTGGGAATTGGTTTTCCATGAAAACCAAGAAATGCAATTCCATAGAAAAGAAAAGCTATCAAACACCCTTAAAATGAAAGTTGGAATTGATTTTCCATTTTCTAGGGAAAATTTTCATGTACCAAACATACCCTAAGTGAAATTCTCTATGTTTCGTACAGGTTTGATTATTTCTGATTTTCATAACTTCTTTCCTTCAACGCCCATCAATTATTCACTCAAGAACCATTTATTTATTTAGAAATTAGTTTTCTTTCTTCATAATTTGTTTGAAGGATTTAATAATTTGTTTTAATTCCATTCATAGTTCTGCCAGATATATATATATATATTTATATTCTGAATATTAGTCTACTAGGAAATTTATAGTTACTTGAGTTAAATTAATATTACATTAAAGAAGTCATCTTATTCTCGCCACGAGTTTCGTTGTCTTTACAGAAGAGAGCGGGATTAATAAAAAAAATCACGATTTGAAATAATAATCGATTAATTAATTGTGTAAGCCATTCCTTAAATTTGTGCACAAGTACTATGCTTTAGAATTATGGGTAAATTGCAGCTACTGTCCTCAATCTATAGCGCCTCCTGCACATTTAATCTCAATTGTTTCTTATCTTTTAACCCCAGCCCATTCACCATAACTAGTTCGCCCGTTATGTAACCAGTAAATTGTCAACCTAATTGCATGGGGGTGGAGTTTTAAACTTTTCCTATTCTATTTCCATTTTTTCTTAAGTTTATTATTATTATTATTTTAATGTTAAATCTAGGCACCAGTTAAATGTGCTATAATTTTTGTCTTTAAACCTCAAAAATAATCTATAGAATTAAATCAAATAGTTCTATTTCTCAGTCTTTCTGACTTGCTCCTATAGAGCCAAGGTTGAAAAGATTGAAAAAAAAAAAAAAATCAATCATCTACAACCGCTAATGAAGAATTCCTCAAAAAGTTAAAGATTAGTAATCTTTTTTAGAGATCGTGTACCTCTCTTTCCTAGTTATAAAGGAAAAAGGTCCAGCTGGTTGGATCCATATGAATTGTACAAGGATGTGACCAAACTTGATCACTCTTTTTCTCACTAAAACCTACACTCAGCCCTAAATGTAAATGTTAGCATGTTTTTTTCCATACATTTTGCTGTCTTTTCCTTTCATCGCTGCCCGAGCTTTTCCTAGATCTCAACCTTTCATCACTGCCCGAGCTGTAACCAAGGTCATTATCCATAACAAAGCTTAGGACACCTCTATCTGTAGTTCTCTGTTTCAAATTAACAACATGGCTTCAAATTTACCTTTTCTCCAGACCATAACCATAAACATGTCATCTTTAATGTTATCCCCTGAAGAACGCTGAATGGAACTTTCTAATTACTGATTTTTTTATTATCTTCTCAACATAATGAAGTAAGTGTGTTGACAACTGACAATTCCTTTGTCCAGATGGACACATGCTTCCTCAACAATTTTGCTTCATGCTATATCAAATGCTCTATGAACACGTATCAAAAAAGAGAGGAGAAGGCAATGTGTCAAATGGAGAACGCTTAGAATCAACAACATATAAGGAATAAGTAAACTGACACACTAATATTAGTCTGAAATACAGAAAAGGATTCGTTTTTGAGTTATAGCAGAAGATTATCAACAAAATAACAAACTAAACAGTACGATTTTATCAACTAGAAAAATTAAAAACATAAGATTAGCTACTGGTCTTCTCTTAATTGATGTGCAGATTTTCATCAGGTTATCATTCCAATGACCTTTAGTTTTCCTGTAATTCATTTTTCTCGTCAAGAAGAACCAAACTTTCAGTGTACTCAACCAAAGAATCTGCATCACAACGAAATCCAAGTCCAATATCTCTACTTTGCTTCTTCTCAAAGTCATATACAAACATTTCATCATAAGTTGCATAAATAATCTCACTGTTCTTGGTAAACCCTACTGAAAATATACAATCTACCTCGAATACCACATGATACTCCTCCAACCATGATTCGGCTACTCCAAACTCTTTCATTACCCATAAACTCAAAACGTCTTCCTCACCAGTGCAATGAGCAACGAATAGAGCAAGACACCCTTTGTAGGCCACGAGATAAGGGATGACGGAATTATAGTGATCATAATTTGGCAACTTCATCTCTTGGAATACTTCTAAGCGAGTATCGAATGACAAAATGGAATAAGTACGTTCAAGAGAATGATAAGCAATCCAATTTAGAGAACCATCTACAAATACGGCAGCTCCATCTAGGAGTATCCCTGGCATTTTTACATCATCAATCTTTCTCCAAGATGCTGTGTATAGACTATATAGTTCCACCTGAGATTGTTCTTTGTCATTTTGAGGCAAACCTTTATTTATGTAGTGCCTAATCATTATCAACTTATAATCATTTTTTTCATTATCGTACCAAAATCCAACGTCAGTGAATTTTCGATATAACCTATTGCAGCAAGAAGAAGTACAACTAATGCGTTTAATTCTTCGAAGCAAAGGATTCCATAAATATATGAGACAACCATCAGCAAAACAAGAAGTTCCAGTTAAGCAAACTAGGCCATTGCATGAACCAACCATTTTGCATTTCCTCAATTCAAAATCCATAGGCAAGTCCACAGAATACACCGGATCAAAGCTCACCACATTGTCACGAAGTACCACACAAGGCTTACCTCCATGTTCATCAAGAAGCAAGTCGAGAATATAATGCGAGCTATCATCATTAATGTTGCTTGCAATAGATTGTTTGACATGGGTAGCGATGAAATCACGAGATTTAATTAAAGCATACCATGATTTGCTGACTGTTGTACAACGCACTACGGATTTTACGGGCAACCTTGAAACAATGTCAAACAAAATTCCTTCTGGAAAATGCTTATCAAGGGCTTTAGTTTTTCTTTTTCTGCCATTTCGAGGCATTGCTTTTGCTCACACAAGGAAAACCTGTCAAGCAACAAAGACAAAGATTAAAGATTTTGCAGAGATCAAGAGCTTGTGTCTGTTAAAAGATTCTCTAATCCATTTTGGTT